TGGGAGGCTGAGGCAAGAGAATCACTTAAGCCCAAGAGTTTGAGGTTGCTGTGAGCTGTGACACTACAGCACTCTACTGAGGGTGACATAGTAAGACTCTGTCTCAAAAAAAAAAAACAACTCATAGTGATCCACATAAGTACATCCTGACTCTATCCTTTAGTGGCGCTTCCTAGGATGCTATCTTGTTAGCGGAGTGAAAATTATGTTAAAATGTTATATATCAAGCTGGCAGTGGCTAGTGAATGTCAATATGGCTAAGACATGATGCCTTCCTAGGGATATTTGCATTTGTGCAGATGATGTTTTAACCAAGGGATTGCTACAAGTCCTTTAATCTAGTAATTCTGCTTCTAACTCTATTATATGAAAAATCCAGACCACAAGATATTAATTTCAGTGTTGTTTTTTAATAGGAAAATACTGTAAATAAATTTTTTTTTTTTGAGACAGAGTCTCACTATGTCACCCTTGGTATCACAGCTCACAGCAACCTCAAACTCTTGGGCTTAGGCTATTCTCTTGCCTCAGCCTCCCAAGTAGCTGGGACTACAGCCACCCACCACAACATCCAGTTTTTTTTGTTGCAGTTGTCATTGTTGTTTAGCTGGCCTAGGCCGTGTTGGGTGCATATGGTTAGTGCCATAACCACTATACTACAGGTGCTGAGCCTGTAAATAAATTATTTATGAGACATTAGGAAACAGTTAAGTAAATTTCAGTGTATCCATATAGTGCAATATGATACAGCTATCAGAAATTTTTATAGCATTTTTAGTGACATAGTAAAATAGTTATAATATGTTAAGTAAAAAACGAAATCCAGGACACAAAACTATACATATTTATTCAAGTATGTAAAGCAAATATTAAAAGTAATGAAAAATATGTTAAAATACAGAGTATAGTTAACTTTCAGTTATGGAAGCTTTTCTTGACTCTGTACTTTGAAAAACTTCTCAATACATCTCAAGTTTTCTAATTGAGTATGTTAATATGTCATAACTGGAGAAAAAGTTAAAACGGACACTATCGAGAGAATGAAAAGACAATCCACAGAATGAAAGAAAATATATGCAAATCATGTATCTGATAAGGGTTTAGTATGAAGACAATATAAAGAACCTCTTTTGTCTGCAAAATAATAAATATTGGACAGTATATGAGGAAATAAACTTTTATACATTCCTGGTAGGAATGTAAATTGGCATAGCTACTATGGAAAATAATTTGTGAATTCCTGAAAAGGTTAGGGCTTTTTCTTGGATAAGGAAAAAATAAAAGACAAAATAACAAAAAATGAGAATTCTATATAATATTGCCAGAACAGTCACAGTTAATTCATGGCTTTATATGATTTCATAGTTTAAAAACAGAGGCAAGGCCATGCTGGTGGCTTATGCCTATAATCTCAGCACTCTGGGAGGCTGAAGTAGGTAGATTGCCTGAGCTCAGGAGTTCAAGACCAGTCTGAGCCAGAGTGGGACCCTGTCTCTAAAAATAGCTGGGCATTGTAGTGGGTGCGTATAGTCCTAGCTACTTGAGAAGCTGAGGCAAGAGGATCACTTGAGTCCAAGAGTTTGAGGTTGCTGTGAGCTGTGACACCACAGTACTCAACCAAGGGTGACAAAGTGAAACTGTGTCTCAAAAAATAAAAAAATAAAAAAGTAAAATAAATATAAACAGAAGCAAACAAACAAACAAAAAACCCCACCTCTAGATCTCAATAAATTTAGGGGGAAAAGGCTCGGCGCCTATAGCTCAACCGGCTAAGGCGCCAGCCACGTACACCTAAGGTGGCGGGTTCGAATCCCCAGCCCGGACCCGCCAAACAACAATGACGGCTGCAACCAAAAAATAGCCGGGCGTTGTGGTGGGCGCCTGTGGTCCCAGCTACTTGGGAGGCGGAGGCTTGAGCCCAGGAGTTGGAGGTTGCTGTGAGCTGTAATGCCACGGCACTCTGCCCAGGGGGACAGCTTGAGGCTCTGTCTCCAAAAAAAAAAAAAAAAATTTAGGGGGAAAAAAAGAATAATAAACAATGAAAGCAAGGAGGAGGAGGAAGGAAACAATAAAGTTAAAAGCAAAACTGATAAAATAGAAAATAGAAAGCACTAGTGTTAATAAAAGCATCCAAGTAATCCTTCCTGGAGTAAGAAAAAAAATCAAATGCATAAAAGAGGCCACATAGTAAAGCATTCAGAAAAGTATAAAAATGTAACAGAATATTATGAACAAGTACATGCTAATTCCACTTATAAGTATAGATGTAGAATTCTTAAATAAACTAGGAATAGAACACAAATGCATACTTAAGGAATGATTAACAATACACAAATAGAGCTGAGTCTAAGAATCTAGAGATTACCATTAGGAAAGCTGTTAAAAAAGCCAACAGATTAGATTGGGAAAACATGATGCAGTATCTTAATATATATTCTAGGCCAGGCGAGGTGGCTCACTCCTGTAAGCCTAGCACTCTAGGAGGCTGAGGTGGGTGGATTGCTTGAGCTGAGGAATTCCAAGATGGTGCCACGAGCCTGTAGTCCCAGCTACTAAGAAGGCTGAGGCAAGAGGATTGCTCAAGCCCAAGAGTCTGAGGCTGTGAGCTATGCCACCACAGTACTCTACTAAGGGCTCTATCTCAAAAAAAAAAAAAAAAAAAAGGTTATATATATATATATATATATATATTCGAAAACATTTGCTAAGTTCAACACCCATTCCTTAGTTAAAAGAAATGAAAAACTCCTTCAAGAGCATCTGAGGCCAGGCATAGTGGCTTACCCCTATAATCCTAGCTCTCTGGAAGGTGAAAAGGGTGGATTGCTTGAGCTCAGAACCAGCAAGACCGAGACCCTCATCTCTACCAAACTAAAAAATTTAGGCATGGTGACCCACACCTTTAGTCCCAGCTATTTGGGAGGCTGAGGCAAGAGGATGATTGCTTGAGCCCAGGAATTTGAGGTTGCTATGAGCTATGTCCCCCCTTGAGACAGAAAGGTGACCTTTGGGACACCCTATCAATAGAGAGGCATACCACTAGAGAGGCATACTTTTTTTTGACTAAAAAGACTAAATATAATACATATGCCCAGTCTCCTCATATTAATTTAGAAACATAATGTAACTAAAAGCAATATGATACTGAAAGTTTTTCTTACAAACTTATCCTAAGGTTGGTTTTGAAGACACTAATGTTAGAATAATAAACTACATACTTAAACTTAATATGTGGCTATGGCTGATAAAATATGGTAGAGTTAGTGCAAAAATAAAGAACAGATCTTTTGTAAGAAACTATCATGGGATAAAGTTTGACACACATTTATTTATAACTATCTTATTTTATCTTTTGTTTCATTTTTATTGTACACTGTATTTTAGAAAGTAGACATTCTATTTTTCAATTTTACTTGCTGTTTCAAGATTCTAAAAAATTGTATTTAATGTATGAACTTCTATGCTTTTTGAAAACCAGGAGATTGGCGAATGTACAGATAACGCCTACATGGATACTCAGCTACGAATCGCTTCCTTCTCACAAGACTGTGAAATTTATCCAGGTGAGGGATAACACATATTGACACCCAGCAGTGGGATAGTAGTTCCAGACAATTGGCTGGGTCTTTTCAGATAAATTACGCGTAGGTTCCCATGATATGCCACAAAGTCTGTGTAGCTTACAGACCTTGATGAAAACATTGTACCCCTTCCTTGCTGGCTGATGCTGCCCTGCAAGTGGCCAGGAGTTACAATGACAGAGGGAAAATTTATGTTCCCTGGGCAAAGCTGGCCTTTGGGTGCAATGCCAGCTGGCCTTCCTTGTGTACAAGCTGTCCTTAAGTCAAGTGTTGTAAGTCCCAGAATAAAACTCTTTCAGTTAAAGGTTTTTTGGTCTGCATGGTTTAATGGGGGTGGTGGTGGTGAAGATAGTGTGAGTTTCTGATCAAGTGAGTATTTCTTTTATCAAGAGTTGGCTTTTCTTCTACTTGGAAAACAGCTGTATACATTCCATGATGAGAAGCCTTACTGAAGCTACCTGTTCACCAGAGCCACATGACTTAAAATTTTCCCGTTAGAGAGTCATTCCTTTATTTGTTTTCTTTTTTCTTTTTGTTAAAGCCAGTCATATTTAGCAGGGGGGGTTAAATAACAACTTTTGTGACACTAATGTTAACAAGCTCTGATAACCCACTACCATCGGACCAGTGGAGAGTCATTTCTTTAAATTAGGTATTGAGGCTCGGCTCCTGTGGCTCAAGTGGCTAAGGCGTCAGCCACATACACCTAAGGTGGCAGGTTTGAATCCAGCCTGGGCTCTCCAAACAACAATGATGGCTGCAACCAAAAAAATAGCTGGGCATTGTGGTGGGTGCCTGTGGTCCCAGCTACTTGGGAGGCTGAGGCAGGAGACTCACTTGAGCCCAGGAGTTGGAGGTTGCTGTGAGCTGTGATGCCACCACACTCTATCCAGGGTGACAGCTTGAGGCTCTGTCTCAAAAAATAAAGAAAGAAAGAAAGAAATTAGGCATTGCTTTTTAAAGTTTCCATCAAAAATGCAATATTTCAGGACAAGTGTAGCTTGTTGATTGAGTCAGTACCATGTTCCCTACAGACACTGGGCTTGAGGAGGAGTAAAAGAGAGGCAGGAAGTGAAGGTCACACAGACGACTTTCCCTCACTCACACTAGATGTGGGCCACCTACCACATGGTCCTCCCTCTCTAAATGTGGATCTTTTAGGGGTCTTGTGCGGGAGAGGAACTGGGTAAGGCTGCTCCTTCAGTGTACATGCTAACTTAAAAACTGGTTCTTTCAGCGGAAGATTTTGTACAGCCACCTGTCAAGATTTGTCCTGGCTGCCCTAGGGATATACCTGTCAACAGCCCAGACCTGGAGGAGCCACTGACTCATTCCATTGCAAAGCTTAATGCAGAGAATAACGGAACTTTCTATTTTAAGATTGACACAGTGACAAAAGCAACAGTGCAGGTCTGTAAGTTACGCTACAAAAACAGTGAGACTATAGCCTGAGTGCAAATTGCTTACTGATTTGCCACTGATCTTGGCTCTGGATTGAGAAACAGTATACTTGGTAACAGGTTTTGGTAACAGGCTCCTGGCATGCTTAATGTGTGATCTTGGGCAAGTGTCTTAGGACACGTCTCTGTGTTTCTACTGTAAAGTACCGAGGTGAAGATCAAATAAGGTAATGTTTATAAAGCCCCAGCCACATATGCCAGAGTTGGCAAGTTGGAATCTAGCCCGGGCCTGCCAAACTGCAACCAAAAAATAGCCGGGTGTTGTGGCAGGTGCCTGTAGTCCCAGCTACTTGGGAGGTGGAGGCAAGAGAATCGCTTAAGCCCAGGAGTTGAAGGTTGCTGTGAGCTGTGATGCCACGGCACTCTACCCAGAGCAACAGCTTGGGCCTCTGCCTCAAAAAAAAAGTAGTGTGTGTTAAATAACTTTCCAAACTATATAATCACTTTCCATTATATAGTTAATGAAATCCAGGGCTAAGAACAGCAAGACTTACTCTGTGCCTTTCTAGACTCATTTCTCATTGTTCTATCACTTAATGCCTTGGGCCCAGCCACATCAGTCGACCCAGACCCACCGTTGCCCAGACCACACACTCTCTTACCTCCAGGTCCTTTCTCTCCCTGTTCCCTTTGCCTGGGATTCCCTACTCTCTCAGTAGAAGATAAAGAGTGCCCTGGTTTGGGCATTCACCATTCACATGTACCCTGAGTGACTGAGTCTTTCAAACTTTCTAAGCTTCTGTGGCCCCCTCTGGAAAATGACTAGCTGGAGCAGAAGTTCCTGTCAACTCACAGTCTGTGATCAACGTATTCATGAACCCAATAGAGACTAAAACTGAGTCTCTAGCTAAAGTCTCAAAGCTAAAGAAAAATAATCAAAATAGAATCAAATTGTTACAGTAAGCCAACATAATCTTCAAAATCTGGTGAGAAAATTATCACTAAAATGTTCATACTTTGGGCTCAGTAATTGAATTTCTAGGAGTCTATATAAAATGATACCGCTATAGTTTTAATTTTAAGAGGAAAAGATAGTAAACTGTCAAAATGATTGATAATATGCAAATGATTAGATAATGCCTGGCATATCTTTACAATCACATGTTAAACAGCAATTTAAAAGTATCCTTGGCTCGGCGCCCATAACACAGTGCCAGCCACATACATCATAGTTATAGCACCAGCCACAGACACCCAGAGTGGCAAGTTTAAACCAGTCCAGGCCAGCTAAACCACAATGACAACTGCAAAAAAAAAAAAAATACCTGGGCGTTGTGGTGGGAGCCTGTAGTCCCAGCTATTTGGGAGGCTGAGGCAAGAGAATCTCTTAAGCCCAAGAGTTTGAGGTTGCTGTGAGCTGTGACATCACGGCTCTCTACCAAACGGTGACATAGTGAGACTCTGTCTCAAAATAAATAAATAAATAAAAATAAAATAAAAGTATCCTTCTCAATGTGGGAAGTGTCTTTTGTTAAATATTCAATGAAAAAGGGGGCCATAAAATTGAATATATGTTATGTTTTCAATTATGTTATAAAGAAAAACCTGTACTTTTCAACAAAACTGCAAAGAAACAGGACCCAGTGTGGTGGCTCATGCCTGTAATCCTAGCACTCTGGGAGGCTGGGGTGGGTGGATTGCTTGAGATTAGAAGTTTGAGACCAGCCTGAGCAAGAGTGAGCCCTCATCTCTACTAAAAACAGAAAGACTAGCCAGGCGCGGTGGTGGGTACCTTTAGTCCCGCTACTTAGAAGGCTGAAGCATGAGGATCCCTTGAGCCCAAGAGTTTGAAGTTGCTGTGAACTATGATAATACCATGGCACTCTACCCTGGATGACATAGTGAGTGAGACTTTGTCTCAAAATAAATAAAATAAAAAATTTAACTATACTTAGCAAAACAATGACAGAAAAGGTAAGGTAAGAGTTTTGTTCTTCTTATGACTTTCCTCTCCCCATCCATACCCCATCCTTGCTTTTAAAAAACAAAGAAAAAAATAGCTCAGCACCCATAGCACAGTAGTTATGGCACCAGCCACATACACCAAGGCTGGCAGGTTCAAACCTGGCCTGGGCCAGTTAAACAACAATGACAAATGCAACAAAAAATAGCCAGGCATTGTGGCAGGTGCCTATAGTCCCAGCTACTTGGGAGACTGAAGAAAGAGAATTGCTTAAGCCCAAGAGTTTGAGGTTGCTGTGAGCTGTGACACCATAGCACTTTACCCAGGGCAACGTCATGAGACTCTGTCTCAAAACAACAACAACAACAAAACATAAAGAAATAGAGAAGGCTGTTTAATTTGCTTTCCCCCAAACAGGATTACATTATCACCCTACAACTTCCTTTTTTCTTTTTT